TAAAGAAGCCTCGGCCGTAGTCTTCAAGCCGATTTTTTTTTAGAAGACAAGACCGAAGTGGGTAACCTGGAAGAGAAGAATGGGGAAGTCGGCTGCGATCTGTGCGAGAACGACAGCTGCCGGGTGATACAGGGCGAAAGAGCGATGCTTGGCGAGGATGGGCCTGCCCGTGAACGAGTCGGTGACCTCTGAGAGTGCAATGAGGGCGTTATACAAGATGGAGAAGAATAAGGCGCCGCCCTTAAGGAAGAGGCCGGCCGAATTGTCAGGGGCGTTGTAGAAGAGGGAGCCACCGATGAGTGCCTGAACAACCGTAGCGACTTGCTTGAGAATCAGGGTGGCCTTGTCTCCCCACATGATCTGGTATTGCCTCGTTACAGCAGCCCTGATCTGAGTGAGGAGGCCGGTAGTGACGGCAGATTTTTGCGGCACTCCGCGGTGCTTCTCACGAGCAACAGACTCTTTGAAGACGGCGGTGTTCTCGGCAGCCTCGGTGCTTTGGGGGTAGGTCTCAATCTCTTCGAGCATCTTGGACCTCACTCTCGAGCCCTCGTATGCAGCGTGAATGTCGTGGGCTGTACGAGGAAACTTGTCTTCGAACCCAGGAGCAATGACGCGCTCCGTAGGAACCGTCACACCAGTCAAGAAATCACCGCGGTTCGAGCCGGAGTCTCGAACAAACCCGAGGCTTTCCATGAAGGGCACAGCGTCGACTCGGGGACCGTAGAAAATCTGTTGGCCCTCGTCGAGGACGAGTACCTTGTCGAAATGCTCATAAATGCCATTTCCGGCCTGGTAAAGAGTGACGATTGTGGTGAGCCCAAGAACGTCGGTCAGCACCCTGATCGCCTTAATCCATTCAAGCGCCGTGCTAGCATCAAGGCCTCTCGTCGAGTTGTCCCAGCAGAACACGCTGGCGCGGGTCGTCATGCACTCCAGAATCGAAACGCGCTTTCTCTCTCCTCCAGAAACGCCCCTCATGAATGCGTCTCCGACCTTTGTGTGGGCGGTGTGGGAAATGCCGACGGAACGCAGAAGAAAGTCTTTTTCGGCCTGAACATACTCCTCGGCAGAGTTGATACCGGGGGGCAAGACGTTCGGGACTTTCATGCGTGCAGCAAACTTAATCGTGTCCTCCACGGTCAAGGCAGGGTAGAAAATTCCTCCTCCG